ATTTAGTAGATCTGGCAGATAATTTTGAGGATGGACTGGCCACCTGCGGTGTTTTTTGGCTAAGTGGATGTCACCATGGAGTTTTTTACTCTTCATAATTTAACCTTCCCTGCCACAAAGTTTATCAGTGATATTAACAATGTAACACTGATTCCAGAGGTGGATTTTGGAAGAGAGATTTTCCGTGTGCTATAAATATGCCCGGCTCACATTCTGGAGTTCAGTTCTATTTGGCCCCCTCCTGTCTAGTACCTTTTGTCGTTCCCATTAATTCTGAATTCCATCCAGCCAGAAATCTTTACATGAATGCAGTGGTAAAGCAGAACACTCACAGTGAAACTTTTCAGGCCTCAGATCAGAGCTCTGCTTCTTTGTGTTGAGTTGGCGACTGTTACTGCTGGAAATAGAAGATAATTTTAAGTCTCATGAAATTTTAAGCTTTAGTTTTGTTAATTTATAGTTTGCTTAATTTATAAAGAAATACTGAATAGACAGATGGACGGATGATAGAAAGTTTATGCTATTCAAATCTTCAGTGGTAATGCAAGTATAATTTTAGTCAGATAGATTTTGTTTTATTATGAAATATATGTACAATATCAAGCCACACTTATACTGTCAATAGAAAATGCACTCGTAGGCCTATGGTGCTCATGCACATGTGCATGCAGGTAGTACTTGCATTGCATTTAGAGCACATGATTTGGAAAGATAATGTCCTACACATCTCTTCAGATGTATGCACATACATCAGAAATGTGTCTGACAGAAATTCTGGAAGTAAGACAAAACACATATTTTACAAACAGTTTGTTTTTGGAGGGTGAAGTGAAGAGTTAATTTATTTCGTAGATGTATACGGTTTTTATTTAACGCCAGTATCTTCTTACTTTTTCTCTGCCGGTTGATAATGTAATTCCTTGATGAGGTTCTCTTGTAACAAGAATGAATTGTGAAAATTAGTAAAAACTGACATCAATAAAGCAGATTTTCTTACCCCCGCAAATGAAGAACCACCGACCTTCAGTTCTGCAAATTCTTTGATGAGCCATTTCAAACATAAATCTGTGCTACATGTGACAAGCACTGAAAATACCGAGTGGATTTCCCGGGCAAATGTTGCCCAACCATAATCCCTCATTGCAAAACAGTGATTGGGGAATTCCCACACCCAGAATGTACAACGGCATTCAAGTACAGTGCATTCAAAACAGTAAAATTTGTTTGTGGTAGCATGCTGTTGAACGCTAACACCAGTCTCCCACTCTCCCCCTTAAAAGTTTCAAGTTTTGTATAAGTCTGTGGACGTCTGCAAGTTTCCAATTGATATCTTATTGGTTTATGTTGAGGAGTAACTAGTATTGGCTGCATGAGGGCTTGCCGGGCAGTTTGGTGACAGTGGAAATCTGAGCTGCTCAGTTCTTTGCTATGACGTCACTATTGGGGGTGGGGTTTCAGTGTAGGATCACATTTCTCACCGTTGTAATTTCCAGTTTCCTCTGCACATGTAGCCAGGTTGCCAAATCAAGTGGGAGAGTGAAGATGGCAAGCTGGCATGGAAATCATCATGATGATTTCTACGAGTTAAAAAAAAAAACTCGGGCACTGCAAGTTTTAAGGACAATTAAGGTTGTCATGAGATTTTTTTAAAAGTATTGAAGGGTTCGGGCACTGTGGATGTTAATGGCTGATAGGACGTTTTCATTAAAATTCTAACAGCACTTTGCAATATAAAAATGTTACAAATGTGTGCTCCTCTAATTTTAGTTCAGTGAAGGCTACCATGAAAAGCAGTGAAACGGTAGTACTGTATGCTCAGTTTCCAGTACATCAAATGTTTTCAAGATGTATTTTTTTTTGTTGGGTAAGGTTACGTTGGGTTGGGTAAGGGCAAAACCCGTCATATAAATTACCATCTCCCCAACGCAAAAATACATCTTGAAAATAGTTCGCGGTACCCGCTGCTTGACCTGACTCGGACCGGCCAGCCAACCCCGGCAAGCTTGGTGGTCAAGTGGTTAAGACGTCTGCACTAGTAAGCAGGAGGTCGTGGGTTCGAGTCCCACCCGAGTAAGCTTGTGACTTTTTTCGCAAACTCTCGGACAAGCACTGAGCATACAGTGTTTATTAATATATACATTGGGTAAGGGCAAAACCCATCATATAAATTACACCATATGTTGTTATTGATTAGTTTGGTTAAGTATGCGGTATGGCAACTGGAAAATTACAGTTTGCTGACAACTCACTGATGGAGCATTCATGATGCTGTATTTCACTACACTTGCTGACGACATTATGAAGTTCTGGCAGGAATTATTACCAGAATGGGGTAGATCGAGTGCAGATTGCCCTGTGGGTTTACATTCCCGAGTTTTGGGCTGCCTAAAAGTTCCAGGCAATTTGCTTTTAAGCACCAGATACCTGGGGCGTGTTTTCGTGACCCCAAAAGCAGACTTCTTTGAGACTTCAGAGCTATAACCTTGCAAAAATAAGAACTAATAAAGAGAGAATGAGGTCTTGGTTTTCAAGTAAAAGAGGAAGGTTTTATTTTGAAAGCTGCATGATTTCTGATTTAAAATGTTCAATCACTTCAAGGAGCTTCAAGTAAAACAGTTTGGTTGCTGTATTCCAACATTATGTCAAGATAAAACGCAGAACAGAATACATCCATTGAAAATGTATGTTTCCATATCAAAGAAAAAACATAATACCGTTCACCAAAAACTTTGAGCATAAAATTATGTAACATAGGCTACTACAGTTCAAACCTTCTAAATTTTGTAATTTTTTCACATTTATGTTTTAAACTTAATTGCTAAATCTTGAGAAGTATGCATCTACTGCGAGCAAAAATGCTAGCTAAAATGTTTAAATTTGAAAACAATCTTCTCCCCCGAAACCAAATCATTGTTTCTGAGGAATACTGAAGTCCACTCACTAGGTGAGCAGCCAAGTTTCACATTGCAAAGGCAAGAACTACAATGTTTCTTAAAACAGTTCGACATCAAGGCCCTTTGCTCTGGAATAAAATCACCCAATACCATACTTTAGAAGTATACATGGTTTTAAAAAGTACTTGAAGAATATCCTCCTTTCCAGTGTAATATTGTTTATTTACCCTGTACTGTACATGTATTTAGTGTATGTATATCACATTTCTACTGTTTATTCATAACCTTAATAATGAAGCAGTCATGTCTAGAATTGTACCATTCCTAAGATGTTATGACAAAGAAAATCTTGGCATAATTCTAATGTTCAGCTGTACCTTCAACTGTAACTCTTTTTACTCTCTCTTCTCTGTCTTGTAATTACAGCCCCATATGGATATCATTATAACAAATAAGGAACCAGGCCATGAACAAGCGTTTGCTTTCTGTCTGGTATCTGCCATTCATAATCTCTTCTTTCATTCTGTAATAACATTGTTTCTTTTATGTTCTAATTGTGATGTATGGAAATAAACCAAACCAAACCAAACCAAAAGGCATAAAATTACATGTGTTCCCATAGGTATTTACATAAGCTGAAAGTGGAAATTTACTACTTTGTGAATGAAAAACAAAATATAAAACTCGACTGGATGTTTTTATCAAGAAGACAAACAAGTGTAGAAATATGAAAAGATTGTTAGTTTGGACCTGAACAAAAATATTCTTTCGTTAAGAACCCTTTTCCACGCTATCCCAACAACTTGAAGTCAACAACCAGGGGTGCTTTTTTATGGTAATAATCCATGACTATTTTATCAATTAAAAAAGAACATTTATAAAATCTTAAGCAGAATAAAAACTGGTTGTGTGGTGGAGATCTGATTCACACAATATTGCAGACACACATGTATTTGCCCATAGATGATTGATAGAATGGTGGAAAGCTTGCGGTAACTTAATCCCATATGAAATCCCATATGATTGATGCAGCTTGAAAGTAATGCTGTTGTCATCCATTTTTGTCTCGCATTCAAATACCCAAACCACAAGTGGCTGGCACATGCTTCATGGGCCCACCTGTGTAGTGTCTGTCTGGTGCATTTACCGATAAAAGTCAGCAAAGTGTTATCAATATTTTTACATTGTTCTGAAGTTTTCAAGCAGAAAATAAGTAAAAATTAATCTCAAATTTAATCTTAAAATATGTAAACAATAAAGAGTTTTTATTTGAAACATTTGGCACAGTTTGTAGAGAAGAGGCAATACATTTGACCCTTATTGTCGCCGTTTTAAAAAAAAATGACGCTAATGTGGCTTCTCACGAAAACAGGTTTTTCGGGATCATTGCCAAAGAAGGTTCTCCGTTTTAAAAACTGTCAAAGGAACTAATTTGTGACAAATTCACATAAAAAATATTCCTGAAATGATTCTTTGAGTAAACATTCTCTTAACCCAGGTAATTAGTACAAAAACGGGTTGATAGCATAAATTAATTAGCAAAGGTTAACGTCAATTCATGAAAACAAAAATTACATCTTTGTTCATGAACATCTTTCTGTTCAATGTATAATTCACAGGAAAGGTGATCGTGTCTGTACGCACGCACAGTTGCGAATGTAACAAAGCTTGCGTCACTCCGTGTCATGCAAAAGTTGTGTCAAATGGTAGATTTGGATTTAATGTTAGAGGTTATTAAATAATTTACACAAGCCTTACTTGCATTCCAGTGAGATTGCCAACCAAATAATTTTTTAAAAAGGAGAAAACTGGAATTTGAGAAGTGGACCTGACTACCCTAGTGAAACTGTGCGAAAAGGGCAATGAATACATTTTTAAGGTCGTGATGTACTGTTGTACATACTGACCTCTTGCAAAAGTTTAAATGGTACCCACTGATCACTCATTAGATCTGTAGTGTTGGGGACTGGGGCTCCTGTGGCATGGTCCATGGTAGGGACAACTAACTACACCTGCGTGTGTACATGTTGAGCTAATCGCATCACAAGTGTCGTTACTCTTTGTTTCTTTGACCGTGGAGGATATTGATGTCTTAAGCAATATTATTAGCTGCATTTCGGAACAGTCTGCCCCTGTCTGTCAGAATGGTGTTCAGCTCTTGTGCTGTGGCGTAGTCAGCAACAATCCGCTTCCCTAACCATTCTGGTTTGCCCTCCTCAATGCCAAACTCATGAAGTACTTCCATCAACCAAGAGTATCCCTTCCTGTCAGGAGGGGACAGTTGTCTCAGCACTTGGCGAAATTTGTCATTGCTTGAGAACAGAAGCAACTGCATGGCTACATTGAACAGGTGAAGTTTCCTGTGGTTCTGGAGATTTTCTCTTAATTTACTTTCCCAGTCCATTTGATAGGCCAACTTCTTTATCTCTGCTACCTCTGCGTGATCTAGTTCATTCTTCATCAGAGTAAGTTTCAACCTGTATTTCCACTGATCTTCGATATGATTCTCAAGTACCCCGGTTGTGTTTTCCCAATCTTCCTGTTTATGAGTTTGCACGATCAACTTAAGTTCAGTTTCTAAGTTGTGTAACCCATGTGCCTGGAGAAAAGTAGACAGCCGAGGGCTGCTTTGATTATGCTTTACAATTTGTGATAACTCGGTTTGCCAATCACGTGTGTCGTCATCATCATCATCATTAGAAGCAATCTTTCAAAAACGTGGTTTCCATGCATGCAAATGTTCGTGCCTTAGGATCTTTTCCAGCATTTTGCCAGTCTCCTTCCCCATGAAACTCTGCAATCTGTTTGGTGATAGCTTTCCAATCATTCCCCTGTAGTGCATGCAAAGTAATGCTTCTGTTTCGGTTCAGTCTTTCCAACCCAATGCTGTTATCTCTGTCCTGACCGTAATACACATTAGCAAATTTGATAATGAATTTGACCTTGTGCTCTTCTTGGAATTCTAATATTTTTTCTGCGCATGTGCGACATGGAGACTGACTGATGTACATGACAATCTCCTCATCCTTTTCAGCGTGTTTTCTCAGTGATTCCAAAGCCAACCTCTCTGCATGAATGACAGGAATTGCTCGGTCATTACTAATTTCACTTTGATACACTTGGCCATTGACAATTGCAACAACTCTGTTTGGCCAATCATCACCAGTGGGGCATGACCTTATAAACGTTCTGATATCCTCTTTTATCTTTGTTATCCAGTTCATCTTGATCTACTAACGGTCCTTCAGGCAAAGTGGGTTCTAGGGAAAAATAAGGGCGAGATCAGTTTGGCCATAAAGAAATAAAATCGTGCATTTTGTGTACCACACTTTTTTATGCATAAAAAAAGAGCCAAACTTAATTTTCATTCAGTTTACTTTAGGAGCTTTATAGATTTATTATTGTTCTTTTACATGTAAAAGTTTCCCCTCAAGGTGTTTGGGTTAGTTGGAATAAACTAAGGATCATTTGTTTGTGGTAGCTTAAAGTTTTTCTGATGTTCATGAAATAACAGATTTCAATTAAAACTGTAGTTTGTTTCACTTAATCAACCCCAAAATTGGAAAAAAATGCAAAATGTGAGAATTGGAAATTTGAGTCTCATGCTGAGGATTACAATAGTCTAGCTTTTTGTTATTTACAGCATGAAATAACTCACCCAAAATGAGAACTTTGGTTTTGTAGGAATTTTTTGCAAAGGTAGTGGTTTCACCCTGTCGTACTTTCACTCACTCAATGTAAGACGGTTGCAGGAAAAATCCAATAAAATACCTGAAAAGGATTGAAATTAAATGATACCAAATGAGAGTGAATGCGTCAAAATGCATCATGACTGCTAGACGGGCAAGTGGATTGGTACTTCTTATTAGCATAGGGTAGGAAGCATTACCATGGCAATGTAAGGCTTTATTGAGTAAATGTTGATGACCACACCTGCCCAATACCAACTGCATGTCGATCATTTGTATGAATAAATATTCATAACTATACATTGTGCAGGCCATTGTTATCAATAACATATATTCAGTTACGTTGTTAGAGAATTAAGGACACAACATTTGGTGATCGTGCGTGTTGTATTTGACCTTGTGAGGATGTGGTGTATTTCTCATCACTGTTTTTTCAAAAAGTCCCTTCTGCCAAATCAGATCACCATCTGCATGTAGATTTCTCACTTGTTTTGAAATGCTCACGAAATAGCAGTTGTTGTTAAATTGTAACAGTGAACAAATAATTAACATTTTACTACTTCATGCACGTATCGGTGCTAATGGAAAGTCACTCTGCCAAAAAAAAAAAAGATTCCAGGAGTTCATACCACAGTAAACAAATTTAAAAACATACCTAACTACAGATATCTTACCACTTCCAAGATTGAAGTACATATGTCTATACTTAGAAGTAGTCTGGAGCTAGAGCGTCGGATTTCTGAATAAATGAAAATAAAATCCAGGCAAAACCATCTCTGGTATGGAACTCAGACAAAATAAACTGCTTTCATGTCTAGACAAGAGTTGTTTCAAACAAGGATAGTTAGTTTAATTGAGTGTCAAGATGTTTGGAGGAAGGTCTCTTCGTAATGTCCTACTTGGAAAAGACTGAATAGCTATGCAAAGAAATTAAACATGGCATAAGTGAAGATGCACTTACCTCCTGAAATGAGGCAGCATTAAATTGCTGTTTGCAGGTTGCGCGTGGTTGAGTTTGTCAAAAATGACGTGTCAGAGTCTGTGCCATACGTTATAAACCTGAAGTAGAAATACTGGGTTTGTCTATCTGAATTGCAGTGGCAGTATACCCTTCCAAACTTTCACACCTTAGTATGCCAACTGTTACTTTGGGAAATCCCAAATCCAGAAATGTACAATGGTACTTGTGCGTGAATTTTTTCCAGAATTCAAAACTGCATTTATTTCCACTGGCAATATTTAAATGGTGAAGTTCACTTCTGGTAAAAAA